GCTCCTGTTCTGTAATTTTAAATTCTGGACCTAACGCTCCTGTTGGGAGGGGGCAGGGGTGCCAACTTGAATAAAATATTGGGGAGGGGGCATGTAAGCCCCACCCTATATAATTAATCATATGACACGGTGCACAAACACCACTTGAATGGCAATGCTCATTAAATTTGGGGGGCACAAATATTTTATTGGGGGGGGGGCAAAGCTTCCTTAGCCCCTAGGAGTTGGCTCCGATACAAGAAGGGGGAGGTTCTCCTTAGATTGCAATGTGCATTATTTGTACTCAGGTCCATAGATCAATATTGAAATATAATTGGAATTATTGTTTTTCAAATGAAATGCAATAGGTACATCAAATGAAACAAGGATTTTAAAGAGAGGCTAAAGGGCATTTTAGAAATGGACAGTAGGGAAAAACATGACTGGGTACATCGTCCATACCAAGTGCCCTGGGGAAAATGGGACAGCCCGGTTTTTCGTGGCCATTTTGGGTGGCTTAACCTCACTCTCTTGCCTCGGAAAAGTGCTTTCTAGGGGTGAGGGTGAAGCACGGCTCCCAGAAGACAAACATCCTAGTTTGGGGCTTGAAAAAGTGGACATTATGGGTACAGGTCCTATGTCTGAGTGGGCAAAGAACAACAGGAGGTTATTAATGCCTGAATCTCTGTAATTGGCCTTGCCATTTTAATTGTTTCATTTGAAGGCACACTAACTGTGGTAAGTGCTTCCTCAACCCTGCAGGTTGAGGAAGGGCGCTTCAGGCAGCAGATTTTGGCCTAACATTAAAGAGGTGAATGCTATCATTTATTTAGCATACTACTTGACTTTTATTGCCATGGAGTGGGGCATTTTGAGTGCACCAAAGCATATTGGGCTGTCTCTGAAATGTGGTTTCACAGTTGCCAGTTTCCTTCCCCTGTAACTGGGCTGAATTCTTTTCGGAGAGGAAATATACAGTAAGCCCCATATACATTGCATAAGCCAGAGGTTTTCAACCTTTCTGAGTCTATGGCTCCCTTAACTAATTACCTTCTTTCTGTGGCACCCCTGTGAGGCTCAGGAGCCCAGTTATGTCACCCCCTTGCCTGCAGAGCCAGCACACTTTTTCAATCACCCTCCCTTGTGGAGTGTTCCCTCGGCCTCCTCTCCTCCCCCTCTCTCTTGGGAGTCCACCCCTGGTCTCTGAACTGCCCCCCTGCCCCAAAGAGAGGTGCCTCCTCACACTGCCCCACAGGGGCCTGGGAAGAGGATGCCCCCATTCCCTGGGGAGCTTGTAGCCAGCACTGCTGCAAAAAACAGCTGTACAAGCCTTTGGGAGGCAGAGATGTGAGAGGGCATCAGAGGAGGGAGGGAAGGTAAGAGGGACAGAGGCACCCCTGACCATTATTCAAGGTCCCCTAGGGTGCCACGGCACACTGATTGAAAACCACTGGCATAAAGCCATTAATACCCCTGATCTGAAATCATGCTCAGTACATAAGGGGATTGATAATATGTTTTGCTGTAGATTTTTGCTGTGTATTGTTTCTTTGTTGTGTGGTGGAGTAATAATATTCAAAGACCACTCGGGCAAATGAAGGAAGTATGATGGGTGCCCAGTTGAGAAGAATTACTGTGGCTTTGGAAACAGGAAGAGAGGACATATCATACTAATGATGGAGTGAACGAAAAAGCCTGAGGACCAAAAGTATGTGGCAGCTGCTATAAATAGTTGGTCAGACTTCTGAAGAGAAAGACAAAAGGAATGCTAGCTGGAAATGATGGCAGGATAACTGCTGCAAACCGCCTGTGAACCCAGAGGGAGGTCACACCTGTGTGAAGTTTGCATTGATATCCCTGAGGTAGGAGGGTAGAAGAGATTAGAGGGCTGAGGGACCAACGAGGAAGGATGACAGCAATCAGCAATGCTGAGAAACGTAGGTGGGGTAATTCATAGGATGAGCTGCTAAAGCCCAAAGATCCAAAAGTAGGAAAAAGGTGGGCAGAGAAATTAAAGACAGAGAATAAGTAGGTTAGGAGAGATGAATAGAAGGGACACAGTGAAAGAACAGCGAAGGATAAAAATCTAAAGAGTTTTCAAAGCCGCAAAGTCTTTCATTGGCCTTAGCAAGTCAACAGAAAAGCCGTGGTGAAGATAACTCACCCAGAGATAATAAAAGAACGGGGGCGTCGTGTTGCAGCCAAGGAAGAAAAATCATATCCAATATATATTTCTCTCCAAGTTGCTGCCGTGTGAGAGACAAATTGCATTGTGGAGGGGGCTCTTCAAACCAGGGCTTAGACTAGAGCCTCTAGATCTTTTAATCCAGCCCTGAGACTCCCGGGATAATCACCGATTGTTTCATAGACAGTGGATTAATATTTAGGACATAAGTACTACTTGTTGAGTGATGAGACAGAGAGAGAGAGAGTTAAACAGCTGGTGTGGCAGGATCTTGTTAAGAATGCAACCGTAATGTGATGTGTTCCAAATGTAACGTGTTCCAAAACAACTGTGCCGTGCTATACGGGACTCTCCAGAAACATAAGGACACACAACCTGCATCCCATTTTAGTGCATAGAAATAAAATGAGACTTGTGAACTAGGGAGAATGGAGGAGAAATTCATATTTGTTTGAATTTTAATGAGAAACTACCTAATTTGCACTTGTCAGATCAACACGTAAACCAAAACACAGCTGTCTTTTGAAATTCACACTTCTCTGAATTTTGGGATGTAGTTCTACAACTAAACAATGAGTACCAAAATGCATATACTTTGGGTAAGTGTGCATAGAAACGCATTATATTAGGGGAAATTGTTTGCAAAAGTAAAAACTGCATAAAGAAATAGGCACCAAAATGCTGACAATTTATCATGAGAATTTTTAAGCAACGAATCCCAAATTGCTGCAGAAATGTGGAGAACTGTATTGAAGACTGGAAAAGTGAGAAGCTGCGCGAAACCAAAATTGAGGTTGTCCATACCTAATTATGACCCTTCCTCACACTGCTATTTATCTGGCAGACTCCTGAAATATTGGGATGCCAAGTTTGTGGCACATCATGAATTATTTGTTTTTAATTGGCCCGTTCAGAATTTTTGAGGGGTGAAACCAAACAGCATTGTGGCTGCCTGATGCTACATGTGACAAGCTATTCATGGGAAGCACTCAGCCATGTACAGATAGTTCAACTGGTAAAGCATGAGACCCCTGAATTTTAGGGTCATGGGTCTGAGTCCCACAATGGGCAAAGGATTCCTGCCCTTGCAGGAGGTTGGACGAGATGATTCTTGTGGCCTCTTCCAACTCTACAATTTGATGATCCTATGATCCTATGTCAAACAGATCCACTGATTTACTTGTAATTACTTGTAAATACAGTTTCCATTCTACAGGCACAGATTCATGATCTAGTATGCTTCTGAGAAACGCCATTAGTTCAAAACCAAGTAAAACAAATTCAAAAAATGAATGAAGTTTACTTATTGTTGTTAGCCGCCCTGAGCCTGGCTTTGGCTGGGGAGGCCGGCATATAAATATTTTTTTAATTATTATTATTATATATGCAACAACTAATGGTGTAACAGTGCAAATCCATGAAAGCTCATTCAGAAGCAAGTCCCAGTAGGTTCAGTAGGGTTTACTCTCTACTAACCAAGCTTGGGACTGTAGGCTAAGAAATCTAGTTTCCATACACATTGCAACATGAAATTGAAACTCCTTCCATGGAGCACACTCAATGTATATGGGAATCAGATTGAATGACTTGCCACCAGATTAGCTCTGTGACACAGATGTGCACCTGCAGCTATTCTCTGTGCATGGCTCCTAGTCCGGAATGGAAATCTGCACATCAAAGCTTGCTTCCACACATAGACCTGCTTTGCTGGGTCAGTGTGCACTAATTTGCCATTTGTGTCTTGGTGACGGAGGTCTATTGAATTAAGGAGCATCCCGTCCTGCGTTCTAGATTACCTTCCAGTTCTGTAATACTTTGACAATAAAAGTTATATCCTAGTACTCTGGTACATGCATTTATTCATTAGTAACCACTGTGGAGTGATGGATTCTCACTAAGTTTTAATCACAGCCGTTCTCCCAACTAGCTGTTCAGTCTCAAATTACCATATTTTTTTGCTCTATAACACTCACTTTTTCCCTCCTAAAAAGTAAGGGGAAATGTGTGTGCGTCTTATGGAGCGAATGCAGGCTGCGCGGCTATCCCAGAAGCCAGAACAGCAAGAGGGATTGATGCTTTCACTGTGCAGCGATCCCTCTTGCTGTTCTGGCTTCTGAGATTCAGAATATATTTTTTTCTTGTTTTCCTCCTCCAAAAACTAGGTGTGTCTTGTGGTCTGGTGCGTCTTATAGAGCAGAAAATATGGTATCTTCTGTTCCTTCACTTTTTTATGGAGAATATAGATCACTGGGATACAAGTAATAGGCAGGGATCCATAAGGGATATAAAATGCATCACAACAGCAGCACTACTACCATAAGGATATGAAGTGTGTCCCCAAATACATGTTTGGGTTAAAAGTGGATCCCAGATCCAAAAACATTGAAAACTATGGATCTAGATCTGTGGTTCCCAATGTGGGGCACATGCCCCACAGGGGAGCAATTTGATTTTTAAGGGAGGGTGATTTGATTTTTAAGGGGGTTAATTTGAGAATGAGTTATTAACAGTGAATGGCCTTTTAGGCTTCCTCCACGTGAATAGGAGTCCATGAATAATAAGAATTATATGTCATGGGGAGGGGCATCAGGATTTTAGAGACACTTAGGTGGGGCATGGCCCCCCAAAAAAGTTGGGAACCACTGATCTAGATAATGCAGTTCCTCATTCCATTCCATTCCACTGTTTTTCCTTAAAAAGAAAAGAAAAGACCTAATTTATGGCATCTCCCCCTAAAAACGCAATTCCCACCCTGGCTGCCTGAATTTACAAGAACAGGACATATGTGGCATCTCACCTTTGCAGGCATTTATTTCCATTTGAATGTAACACTCACCAACAACTGACATTTCAGGAACACTTGCGGTGTAAACTTCTTCAGGAAATGTTGGTTCATTGTCATTGATGTCATGGATTTTGATGACAAACTCTGATTCAGGCTCCACCGGCCTGAGTGTTCTCCTGTTAATAGCCTGGGCACGTAGGGTGTAGTAAGCTTTCTCTTCCCTGTCAATTCTTCGTGTGGCATGAATGTCACCTGTTCGCTCATCAATAACAAAAAGAGTGCCAGCTCCGTCTCCTGACAAAATGTACTTGAGGGACCCATCTCCTTTGTCCTGGTCAGAGTGAAGCTAGGGTTGAGTGGTGGGAGGAGAGAGAGAGAGAGAGAGAGAGAGAGAGAGAGAGAGGTGTTTAATAAAATGGGTCCACTTCTTCAGAAGACAGTGAGTCACACAAGGTGCTTCAAACAAAATATGCATTGACAAAGCCAAGTCCCTTTCAATTTATGCTGACTCAATACATCACCAAGTGTTTGCGTAGAGCAGTGTTTCCCAACCACTGTTCCGCGGCACACTAGTGTGCCGCGAGATGTTGCCTGGTGTGCCGCGGGAAAAATTAAAAAATTCGAAAGATTTTTTTTTTTTAAAGTCAAATTTTCGATTGGGGCGCCGTCACTAGATGACCCCTGGGGTTCCCTCCCTCCCTCCCGCTCTGCGCCTCCCTCCTCCTCCTCCGGGGAGGCCCTTCCTGGCTCTCGGCCAAGGCTTGGCGGCTGCCACTCACTCGCTCGCCCACCCGTCCCTCCATCCCTGCACCCGGCCTCTCCCCCTCCGTCCCCGGCGCGGGGGCTGCCGGGATCCGTAGTCCCCTCGCCCTTGGGGCCCGCGCGGGGTGCGCGAACTACGTTTCCCAGCGTGGCCTGGCGGGCCTGGCGTTTTGTTTGAAGCGCTCTTCTCCCGGCCATGGAACGAGCGCAGCGGCGGCGGCCGGGCGGGCAGGGGCTCTTCCGCGCAGACCCCTTGGCGGGCGTGCAAGGCAATGCATGCGTGCAGGCGTTGCATGGAGTGCAGTGCAATGCAATGGCAACGCGGCGCCCTGCATGCATGCATGCAACTTCCACCGGCGCTCCGGACTTGGCAGGTGAGGGGGGTCCCCAGTGGGCGGCAGAGAGAGCCGGGAGGGCGAAGGGGAGCCGGGGGGGAGCAGCGCTGCTCCCCGAGCCGAGCCTGGGGGGAAACTTCGCGTCGTTGCGCCAGGTGTTGGAAGCGGAGGCTGGCGGGGGCCCCTCACCTGCAAAACCTGGTCGCCTCTCATATATTTCGTGCATTGCATTCATCGCCCGCTTTCTCCTCCAAGGAGCTCCCGGGGGCGCGCGTGGTTCTCCCCGTGTTATCCTCGCAACAACAGCCCTGCGAGGTGGGTCAGGCGAGTGGCCCAAGGGAGCACCCAGGGATTGTCCTGGCCAGGTGGGGTGATTTGAACCCTGCTCTCTGCCCGGTCTTCGTCCTCATTTAGCCCCCACATGTGCATGACTGTGCATGACTGAGGTTTTCCCCCCTCATCTTGGCTATGGTGTGAGTCTGTGCTGTTAATTAATGGGGTTCTGCCTTCGGAGAAGATGAGCCATCCCTCAAGGAGGTGATTATGTAATTTGCTAGCAATTCATGTCCCTCCCGGCGTGACGCTGCGCGCTGACGTCACGGGGCTGTAATGGTGGTGTGCCTCGAGATTTTTTTCATGAAACAAGTGTGCCTTTGCCCAAAAAAGGTTGGGAAACACTGGCGTAGAGCATTAAAATTCTCATTTCCCAATAATGCACAGAATATTCGTTAAGAGCTCAGCTCCCATGGCAGATTTTAGTTTCTCCGGCAACACCTGTTCCGTGCTGTGGAACATTTCTGTCACAAATCTTAAAGAAGAATTTTATGGTAATGCTGACCTTTTCTTCCCTTGGAAAAGAATCTATTAAACATTCACAACCTGCTGTGTTAGTTGTAAATTCTCTAAACAGATAAAGGACAAGGCGGGGTATGTGATAATTAAGAAAAGCTGCATAACTAGTGCCGGAACTGCAAAATTTTTGAAAGAAAGCTTGTTATTTCTTCCCAAAGAGCAAATGGGGAACAAAATCTTATGGGGAATCTTGCAGTCTCCCTAGGTGCTCTGCCTGTGATCTTAAGGTTAATATATTTCCTCGGCTTTCTCATTCACCAAACAGTGCTATCTCCCAAAGAGCTGAAGCTGGTTAGTGATTCATAAAGCTGTTTCAAGTATGGTTGAACACATGTTCTGCATGCAGAATGTCCCAGCTTCCATCTTAGGCATTGCTTATTAACAGAATTCAGAGGGCAGAGCCAAGAGGACCATGACCTGAGACTTTTCATTCCTAGTAGACAATAGCAGTGTCTCCATCAGTATGGTCCTCCAGATTAATTATATATAGTCCATCTGGCTGGGTTTCCCCAGCCACTCTGAGTGGCTCTCAACAAAATATTATTAATAATAAAGTGATAAAACATCAAACATTAAAAACTTCCCTAAACAGGGTTCCCTTCAGGTGTCTTCTAAAAGTCAGATGGTTGTTTATTTCCTTGACATCTGATAGGTGAGCGTTCCACAGGGTGGGCGCTGCTACGGAGAAGGCCCTCTGCCTGGTTCCCTGTAGCTTCACTTCTTGCAGTGAGGGAACTGCCAGAAGGCCTTCAGCATTGGACCTCAGTGTCCAGGCAGAACGATCGGGGTGGAGATGCTCCTTCAGGGATACAGGGCCAAGGCCGTTTAAAAGTCAGCACCAACACTTTGAATTGTGCTCGGAAACGTACTGGGAGCCAATGTAGGTCTTTCAGGACTGGTGTTATATGGTCTCAGCGGCCGCTCACAGTCACCAGTCTAGCGGCCGCATTCTGGATTAGTTGTAGTTATATGTGGTTAGACTTCACACCCCAACAGTCCTAGTCAGCATGAGTTTAGTTGTAATCTGAAAACAGAGAGCCACAGGTTTCCCCTCCTGTCCATAGAGACACATTTTATCTTACAAAGGAAAAAAAATCTCCCCTCTGTTATTCTTCTAACAGCTTGGTCAGACCTCACTTGGAGTACTGTGTCAAGTTTTGGGCAACACAGTTCAAGGATCCCAATAAAGTGGAACAGGGGATAAATAAAGTATGACCAGGGGATAGTGACAAAGCTGGTTAGGGGCTCAGAATTTGAGTCCTATGAGGAAAAAATGAAGGGGGGAGATATTATTCCTGGACAAGTGATTATTAAGAGGCAATATGATCTTCAAATATCTGAAGGTCTGCCACATAGATGTGGAAGCAGATTTGTTGTAAGTACCTCCATAGGGTAGGGCACAAACCAATAGGTTCAAATAACAAGAAAGGGGATTTAGGGTAAGCATTTGGGGGGGAAACCTCTTGATAGTAAAAAGACTACTTTGGTTAGAGGTTTCTAGTCAGGTTCTGGATTACCTACTGGTAATAATATAGTGGTGAACTTCAAGGGGTTGAACCTAGAGAACTTTCCACCTCTGTCATTATTATTATTATTATTATTATTATTATTATTATTATTATTATTTATTAAATTTATTATTCCACCTACGGGCCTGATCTGGACCCACAGCCAAAATATTTTAACCCTCCAAGGCTTCAATGAATTTGAATGTAGTGCCAAAAATAAAATAAGACGCAGCACTAGGATGGGCCAAACACCCTTAGTTTGAGGTTAACTGTCCCCTTCCTGCTCATTAGAACTGCATGCCAGAATACCGGCCCAAATTTCATCCCATGAAATTACAGTGAAAAGCTCGCACATTTTTCTGAGATAATGGCATTGCAAATTGATTTTTTTCAAAAACCAATTAACACAGAAGTGAGCAGTAAACCTCCACTAAATTCCACTAGATCAGGCACCCCCAAACTTGGCCCTCCAGATGTTTTGGAACTACAACTCCCATCATCCCTAGTTAACAGGACCAGTGGTCAGGGATGGTGGGAAACGTAGTCCCAAAACATCTGGAGGACCGAGTTTAGGGATGTCTGCACTAGATTTTCAGCAGGGGTTCCGATGTTCTGTGAAAGATCACATCAAATGTGGAAACCATCAAGGAAGGAAATATCAGGAAAACGGAATAAAGTGTTGTCTGAATGCAGTCCGCAAACCCAATTCCCTTAATTTTTCAAAATGGAGGTCCCTGGAAATGTATCAGAACCCTTCCTCAAATTCAGCTGTTATTTGCCATCAACCTCATGCATCTTCTGCTACTCAGCATATCTTAAGATCTAAGGCATCCTTCCATATCCGATACCTTCATGAGAATGTGGCAGCATTCTTTTCCCCATTTTATGAGCTTTTCATGCATCAATACAATAAAAAAGTATTTGACAGTGAGGAAGGACAAATCTTTAATGTTTTCTACACCTGTCTACTCAGAAATAAGCACCATAGAGTTCAATGGAACTTCCTTCCCAGATAAGTGGGAACAGGATTAAAGATTTAATGGGCTCAACTCAAAATTGAACTTACGCCAAGGAGACCGATTTCATCTCACATTAGTAACACTGATGCAGGAAGAAATACATGCAGAAGAAAGAATGTAGCTTTCATTTGATGTGCATCAAGCAAGTTCAAGCAAACAATCTGGGGTTTCCCCCCCCCCCCTCATACAAATAATCAGCCATACAGTTATGTCCCTAATGATCATATTTGCATACTGATTTCATTATATTTAAATGTTAACAGCAGCAACAACTTTTTCTGTGTGTAAGCAATCTGCTAGACATTTGCATGCTCTAAAATGCATCCTGGATAATGTGCTTAAGGAAATATGTATCAACCTTATGTGTGTGTGGGGGGGGGAATATATCAGAAAACCTCTAATGAGTGAAGAAACCATTGCAGGCTTTTAAAAAAAGAGCAGATTCTTTGAGGGGCTGCCCCCATCCCACCTCGCAACTTCGATTAAGAACAGAGGAGCGCTAATCAAAAACTGGAGGAGTGATTTGCATGATCATCTTCAGTCATATCAGCCAATATAGAAATTAATCACACAATCATTAATTCAGTTTTGAGATGAAGGATGGGATAGGGACGGGGGGACGGACTACATTGATACCTCTTGCTGCCTCAACTATTTTATAACCAGTGCTGTATTTTGAAATAACCACAGGTTTCAGGACCCAGTAACATCAGCCGTGTCCAATGATAACTTATCTCCTCCAACAACAACAACATCAACTGAGGTTTTGGCAGAGCCTTCACTTTAAACAAATCAGAATCCGCATTTGCCCAGCCTTCCAAATGGGGCATACGGGGAAAAATCTGCTCAAATCTTTGCTGCAGGTCATTT